GACCGCGAGAGAATCACAATGCGAGGCCTCCCTCTTCTCACCGTCCCTCTTCGTCCTTCTGTCCGCCCGTCCGTTCGTCCGTCTGTCTGCCTGTCCATCCGTTCGTCTCTTCGTCTGCCTCCTGTCACTCTCCCCGCCAGCCTTCCGACGGTTCTCTCGCATCAGAAATTCATCTCCTCTCCTGTCCTCCTCCAGGTTCTCCTTTTGTTCCTTCCCTGCCGCCGCAGCCGCCGGCTTGTTATTATGTACTGTTTTATTGCCAGGACGTTGCTAAAGTTCGACCCGGTTACTCGCCCTGGTGGGCCGCGAGCGCACTCCCGGCCCGCCGCCGAACGATCCGCGCCTCTCCGGGATATTCGCGCGGAGATAACCGAGCGCGAGTAGTACTACTTATCAAAGATCCGTCTCCCTCTCTCTCTCTCTCTCTCCCTCTCTCTCTCTCTCTCTCTCTCTTTCTCTTTCGGAAGGCGTCCCGGCAACTTGACTCGCTCGTCCCGTCTTGTCCCGTCTTGTTCTGACGTGGAAGAGCGAGAGAGAGAGAGAGAGAGAGAGAGAGAGAGAGAGAGAGACGAGAAATTAACTTTGTACCCCGCCAAGAGAGAGACTCGACCAGTCCGCTCGCGAAGCGTACATCTTTTCTGACGGGCTACGCGGCTCTACATTCTAACACGGTGGTTATGTAATTACCGGTATTCACTGACGGCCTGTCCGACAATGAGGAATAGAACGAAGCCGGGCTGATGTGTGTCTGTGCGCGATGGCGAACGCCTGATAGCGAACGCGCAGCGGGTGTGTGCAAAATGATTTTCCGAGGAAATTCCCTTAACGCGTCCGACCCGGTCGCGGCATCACTTCCCCTTCTTCCCCCCCCCCCTCCCGCCGCCCGCTGGGTCGATTTCGTTTCGTGTTGTGTAATTAAAGCTCGCATTAATTAGCCCACCTCGGGGATCGGCGACGCGGCGCTACCGTGCTGGCCGATTTTAAAACGCGACGCGCCGCGCGCTGCATTTTATATTCCCCCTTATCGCGTCGATGTGTGTTTTCTTAATTGCTTAATATTTAATTGTAATCCAGTCGCGAAGAATGCCCGGCTATCTCGGCGTCTCCTTTAAGAGTCGCCGCGCAGTGTCGTGCAGATCAGAACTGGCGCGCTCGCGAACAATTAAACAGACACCTCGCG